AGGTCACTCTCACATTGACCATGATAGATTATCTATACAAATATAAATTTATAGTACTTCCCCCGTAAGGCAATGCTTCCCTGGGTTTAGATAGCATATCCCTTCATTTGTCTTTATTAACTTATGTCATTTATAGACTTTATACTTATCCACCTACAAAAGTAGGTGAAATAAATCTATTTATATATATCTATATCATTTATCTATGACATTCGATCGGCCCCCACGCGGTGCGTGGGGGCTTATTGCCGCCCTCCGGGCGGCCTTACTTTATCTATGCCCGGAAAACTATATCTATGTCCTTAATCCACATAATATGTAGAAGATTTATTCTACACACCGGTCATCAAAGATGACCGGGACTACATTTTCTATTGACTTTATAACTATAACTATGATATATCTATATAATATATATCCCCCTGTTGTTGTTATCTAATTTTGAGATTATCAAACATCATGATTTATACTCATCACCGGTCATCAAAGATGACCGGGACTACATTTTCTATTGACTCTTTTATTTCAATTCATATATATCTATATGATAACTATGAATAATTATGAAATAGATTGATGGCCCAGCCTAAGGCTGGGCTATAGCCCCCCCTTTAGGGGGGGGCCATTAAATATATAATTTATTGATAAGAGGTTTGATGATAGGAATAAATCTTCTTTCTAATTTAAGAGCTTCTAAATTAATAGGGCCGCCGGCAACCACGACGATGTATCAAATAAGACATATAACTAAATTAATTTTATATAGGTAAGATTTAATTAAAATGAGTATCATTATATACAAGATATAATGAATAAGATAAATATCTAATCTGGTATATTCCAGGTTTTATATAATAAAGGTTAATACACTTAACGATAAATATATGATATATTTTATATATGCATAAAACAATGAATTACACAACACGTTGATTATTTAGTACATCACACAAAGATATTGGTATACTTTATTTAATCTATGGTATGATTGCAGCAATGGTTGCAACAGGTATGTCCGTAATTATAAGAATAGAATTATCAACAGGTAGTTCTCAATTCCTATTAGGTAATAATCATGCTTTTAATGTTTTAGTTACAGCACACGCTATCGCTATGATTTTCTTATTTGTAATGCCAGTATTAATTGGTAGTTTTGGTAATTTCTTTTTACCAATATTAATAGGAGCAGTAGATATGGCATTCGCAAGATTAAACAATATTAGTTTTTGATGTTTACCAGCAGCATTAGTATGTGTTATAGGTTCATTATTAATAGAAAATGGTGCCGGTACTGGTTGAACTGTGTATCCACCATTATCAGCTATAGGTTCACATTCTGGACCTAGTGTTGACCTTGCTATATTTGCTTTACATTTAACAACTATATCAAGTCTATTAGGAGCTATTAATTTTATAGTAACAGTTTTAAATATGAGAACAATAGGTATTCATATGATTAATGCACCATTATTCGTATGAGCTATATTCTTCACTGCTATATTATTATTATTATCTTTACCTGTACTTACAGCAGCAGTAACATTATTATTATTAGATAGAAACTTCAATACAGGTTTCTACGAAATCGGAGCAGGTGGTGATCCAATATTATACGAACACTTATTCTATTTAATATCAATTTATTTAATCATTTCATATAATAATATATATATAAATAATGAATTTAACTTCAATGATTTTTATAATAAATATAATGATTTATATGAATATAAGAATAAACCGGAGAAAGATTTCATAGAATGATTTATTGGATATTTTGAAAGTAATGGGATATTTAAATTAGGTAAAAGAGATTTAAGTATTATAATACAATCAAAAGATTTAAATATCTTAAATTATATTAAAGATAATTTAAATCTAGGTAATATACATTTAGAATCATCTAAAAATAAAATATATAAATATGAAATCAATAAACAAAATGATATTCATTTATTATCTTTATTATTTAATGGTAATTTAGTTTTACCAATAAAATTAATAAAATTAAATATATTTATATCTAAATTAAATGAAAAATTAATTAAGAATAATGAAAATATTATAATAATTAAAAATAATTGTGTATTACCATCTTTAAATGATTTCTGATTAACTGGTTTTTCAGAAACAAATAGTTATTTTAAATTAAATAAATATATACTTTCTTTAAAATATGAATCTAATAAATATGTATTAGATCATATATTATCATTATTTAATAATGATAAATCAAGAGGAATAGTACAACTATCCGACAAAAATACATGACAAATATGTATTAAAGATAATTGTAAAAATATATTAAATTATTATAATACATATCCATTGAAAACTAATAAATTAGATATATATTTATTATATAAAGGTATAAATAAAGAATTGGAATAAAGGATGAGATTTAACGTAAGTTATAAGAGATAATTAAACAAGTGTATAAAAATGATTTAAAAGTGTATTGAAAGGATATGCTATCCCCGGTTGAGTAATTTACTCAACCGGGGATTATCGAATATTAAGTTTACTTAATATATCTTAATCCTAGTATATATATATAGCCCGCCTATCAGGTGGGCGATACCTCGGTAGATATTTATAAATAAATCCTTAAAGAGAAATAAATATACTCAAATATATATGCGACATTATAGGAACGGTTAAAGATTTCTCAAATTCAGACCGTCGATTATTTAAGTAATTGCTACAGACTGCATCTATAATGGGTGATTAATCATAAAATCTTAGAGTTTAGATTTAAAGATTAAATATGAAATTGCTTAATGTACAGTCGGAACCTTTATTTTGGTAGGTCATATTTATGACATTTATAATACAAGAGTGAAATAGTTATTATAAATATAGGTTATGGATTCTTTGGACACCCTGAAGTAAAAATATATGCTTCATTATATTACTAAATGCTGAAAAAAGATATGGTATATATCTACTTAAAAGTAATAATGATATATAAATAATTAATCAGCAGATAATTGATATCAATTATTTCAAAGACTATACGTAATAAGATACGTACTCCCGGTCAGTAATACTGACCTGGTAAGTTATGTACCTAATAAATAGTCTCATCAAATATGAGAATATTTGTAGAGTTTAACTCTAATATTTACATATATAATATATATATATATTTAAATATAAAGATATAAGATATATTATTATATTACCTGCTTTTGGTATTATATCACATATAGTTTCAACTTATTCTAAAAAACCTATTTTTGGAGAGGTTGGTATGCTTTATGCTATGGGTTCTATCGGTTTATTAGGTTTCTTAGTTTGAAGTTTGATGGCTTCATAATATCATAAAAATGCTAAGACTAATCAAGAGTTAAGTACTAAATATTTAGTAATAATCTTATCTTTATATTATATTAGCAGGATAATTTGTATCCTCAGAGACTAAATATGATAAGATATATTTAAATATCTAAAAAATAGTCCACTAGATTTTAATATTTTATATAAATAAATAATCTAGATTATAACGCATCACATGTACGTCGTAGGATTAGATATCGATTCACGTGCATACTTCACATCTGCAACTATGGTTATTGCTGTACCTACAGGTATTAAAATCTTTTCATGATTAATTTGATCTTTTAGCAAGGTCATATATTTGATCAAACAATATATATAATAAATATATATATATAATATGGGGCAAACTCGAGGGAACTCCGATATATATAATAAGAAATATATATGGGACAATCGTCGAACTAAATCATATAAAGAAATTTATATGTAAAAGCGTAGAGATTAGACGCTCCAGGTTATTCTAAGTTATAAAAAGAATAAAATGAATCCCCGGTCTATAATAAATATGATAGACCGGGGTAGATATCATATTTATATATATATATATCTTTTTTTAATATGAAAACCTAAGGTATAATCCTAAATCACCAGTAATGGTTAAGAGATATTCTCTTTTATATTTGAGTTATATCAAATATTCTTGTGTCTTAGGACGCGGGGATAGTATGCGGAGCGAAAATATAAGATATATATAAATAAGCTATATCTGAGATGATTAAATATTTATATTCAATGAGCAACATTATATGGTGGAGAAATACGTTTAGCAGTACCGATGTTATTTGCTTTAGGATTTTTATTCTTATTTACAATAGGAGGATTAACAGGAGTAATGTTATCAAATGCATCTATAGATGTAGCATTCCATGATATAAAAAGTGTCATTAAATACCTCAAAGATAAGATATACACCACCCGTCATCTATGATGACGGGTTATACTTATCGGTAATATTTATATTGCTAACGGTAGAATCTTTTCTACTCTATAGATTTAATAACTACCCGAAATAATAAGTTCCTTATATGGCCCGCCCATTGGGCGTGCGATATCCCCCCAATGGGGGGATATTTAAGTTTATATTATTTAAAAGATTATACCGTGGAAACTTTTGTTTCTCTAGAGACTAAACGAGGTAATCATAATCTTTATTATGATAAATTATAGTCCAATCCTTAAGGTAACTTAAGTTAATTTGACTTATTACGTAGTCGGTCAAATGGCCGTAAATACATAAAACATGTAAATAAAATTGACAAAATGCTGAAAAGTATAAAATAAATATTTACAAATATATATTAAAATATATAAGTAATAATAATAGTTATATATATCATCAGCAGAATACACCAAGTATTTTCAGAGACTAAATGTCAATTATTTAAGATATCTTAAATAGAGAAATAGTCCACTAATACTCATAAAAAGAGTTATTAGCATTTCCATTATGTTCTATCAATGGGTGCCTTATTTGGTTTAATTGGTGGATATTATTACTGAGGTCCAGCTATGTTTGGATTAAATTATAATCGTATTCTTGGAGAAATCCATTTCTGATTATTATTTATATCAGTTAATATAATATTCTTACCAATGCATTTCTTAGGTCAAGTTTAGGCCTATAAACTTTACAAAATGCTGAAAAATAAATATTAAAAGAGTATAATAATTATAAGATAAATAAGTAGATATTCTCTTCCCGGCCAATATTGTCAATATTGGCCGGGGGAGTACTTATCATTATAATGATATTATTATATTTTGTTATTATCAGCAGGTTATTTCGATTTTATATCTTAATTACTTCAGAGATTAAACGTAAAGAATATTATTAATCTATAATATTAAGTAATAATCCAATTTTATTTATTAGTTCACTTCAGTTACTTATTATATATATATTTATATGGTAAGTTTATCTATAAATATAGATTATTGAATTTTAACATATTTTAATAATTTATAATTTGAAGCACTGTGAACATTAAAATGAAGTGTTAAACGGAATGCCTCGGAGAATAAGCACTTATCCTGATGCATTTATTGGTTGAAATATGATTAGTAGTTGAGGTTCTATAATGTCTATTATTTCTGTTATAGTTGGATTATACAATGTTTCAATACAATTAGAAAACGGTGAGAACGAAGAAGTAGAATTACATGTTACACCTGATTATCTAGAGTCTAATTTATTAAGAGATGAAAGATCATCAGATTTAGAATTAATATTAAACAAACCGGCTAATTACCATACATTTAACGAGTTACCAATATTATTAAATAAATAACGTAATTAAGTTATTAGACTTAAAATCTTAGATAAAAATCTGAGATATATATTTATTCATAGGAAAGATGAATTGTAGACTAATTGGCAAGTCACCTAGGTTTGAGCTAGGTTTATGTACGTTCGAATCGTGCCGATTCATAATACTTAACCCAAAATATATATATAATATATATATATATTTTGGGTGGTTTATCGCACTACTAGCTTAATGGTAAAGCCTTATAATGTCACTATAAAAGATGTCAGTTCGAATCTGATGTAATGCGTATTGGTTAACTTAGCTTATTGGTACAGCTAAACTATTTGCTACATAGTTCTCTAGGGATCAGTGTTCGATTCACTGGTTAACCGTATTCAAACATATAGTATAATGGTTAATACATATTATTACGGATGATATAATGATAGTTCGATTCTATCTATGTTTTTAATGCTTTTAACTGCATTTATAACTTTTTTAGTTTACTCAACTTTTAATAATTCTCTAATAATTAATAGATTAAATTCTATAGTATTAGGGTTTACATTATTTTTATATTTAAATACTTTTGATTTAGTAGGTATCTCATCAGGTATCACATTATTCAATAATTGATTTAATATATCATCATATAATTTTCCAATTACGGTATTATTATTAATATTTACAATAGTATTATTAATATATAATACATCAATACATAGATATGATTTGAAATCACCTTATTTAGCATTAATAGTATTAGCTAATTTAATAGGTTTAATACTTTTACCTTTAGTAAATGATTTATTAGTATTATATGTTATAATTGAATTACAAAGTTATTCATTATATTTATTAACAGGTTTACATAATAGATCGTATAATGCATCAAAAGCATCATTGTTATATTTCCTAATGGGAGGAGTAGCATCAGCGATTATATTATTAGCTTCTTATTTCATATATAGTTTAACAGGATCAACTAATTTATCTGATATTGCTATATTCTATTCATTTGATAATTCATTCGATTATTTTGATATTTTATTAATAGCTTTATTATTTAAAATGGGTATGGCTCCTCTTCATCGTTGAAGTATTTCAGTTTATAATTATGCTCCTACTTATATTACAGCTTATATAAGTATAGTAGCTAAAATATCTATTTTATCATTTATATTTATAAATGCTAATTTATTTAGTCATAATTTAATAATTG